CAGGGTGGCCCGGGGTCTCTGTTCTATCTCACACTGGATGTGTTGGAGACTGGCTGCCATGTGCTCAGCAAGAAGGCATGGAAGGACTGTGAAGTGAGGCCCTTGCACGAATCGGTGAGTGCTTGTTTTCATAAGCCAGTGAGGGCTCTGAGGAAAGCAACCAGGAGTCCTCTTTCTGCAGGGTGAAGAGTGCTCCGTGTCTGCCATCTTTCACGTGGCTCTCTTTATAATATCCTGGCAGGTACCCCTGGGTTTATTCAAATGCCCTAGTGAAAGCATAGTTTAACTAATCAGAAGGGATTCTGATATGTCCGCTGGGGTCATGTGGGCCAGAATGAAAAAGTAGCCCCCAAATTGGATTCCACCTCTAAAACCTTCCTTTAGGCTCTGAACCAGTGTTGAAATTGTGAGAACACCTGAGGTGAGTATTCTGGGTGTGGGGTAATATTGCCTGCAGAGGTATGAAGGCAGAGCTTTTGAAATTCATTTTGCTTTGTTTTGTTTTAAGGGACACTAATAGGTTCGAAGGTAGGAAGATGGATGGCCCACAATATGAAATCTGTCACGGGTGCCATGGAAAGATTTTCTGAACTCATAGAACCCAGAGGGCCTCAGAATTGATGCGTTGATTGTTTCAGACCAGTCCCTCATGCTCTGTCACACTGGCTGGAATGCAATGATGAGATCACTGTAGTCTCAAACTCTTGGGCTTATGTTATCTTCCTGCCTCATTCCTCCAGAGCATTTGGGACTATAGGCATGCAGCACCATGTTAGGGTAATTTTTCTATTTTTTTTTCAGAGATGGGGTCTTGCTATGTTGCCCAGGCTAGTCTCAACTCATGGCCTCAAGCGATCTTCCTGCCTTGGCCTCCCAAAGTGCTAGGATTACAGGCATGAGCCACCCTGCACTGCCAGAATTAATTCTTTAAAAGATGACCAGAAAAGAAACCTGAAATATATAGTTGGTTTCATTTTATTCTTAATTATCCTAAGATTTTGATCATTAATTGATATGAAACTTTATAACATGAGAGCAAGAAGTGACAGGTGTTTAGAAGTAAACAGTTTGATACTGATACTTTTTCTAATCATGTAACCAGTTTGTCAAAATGCACCTGATTTTGAAAAGCAAATCATGTTTTGTTATGAATTGTATTTGTTATGGAGATACTAGCTACTAAAACACATAAACTAATAAATGTATATTGATGCCAACATAATGTAAGTTCAGTTCTCACTTACATGAACTTCAAAATAGAAGTTCAAGATTAGGAGAAGATTTTTCTCCAGGAATGATGTGGAGACCCCGATTCTTCTTACAGTGTGGCTCTGTCTCAAGTCATGACTTGATGGTCACCATGCTCATCTGTGTCATGCTATGGGAAAAGAAAGAGCATGGAGAATAGTTAGAACTTGGGAGATCTTGGGCCAAGATCTGAAGTGGGAGATCTCTTCCTTTGGGAGATCTATGGGCCAGACCTGGA